CACAATGGTAAAATATATATTTGCGATGGATGCCTACAATCGTTCGCAACACTGGCGCAGTTGGGAAGTCATGAGGAAAATGACTGTAATCATACGAGCACAAAGATACCCACCACCAATTTGAAAATCAATAAATATGGTGAATCAGTGCCTGAAAACATCCTCAAATTCACTAACTTTGAAAAACAACTGTCACCACCGTTTGTGATTTATGCTGACTTTGAAAGTTTACTCAAACCAATACAACACAATGAACCCTGTGACGATAAATCATTTTCAGTTAAAGTATGTGAACATGAACCATATTCGTTCGCGTTTTATGTAAAATGTAGTTTTGATGACCGTTACTCAAGGTATGTACTTTATCGCGGTGCAGATGCTGCTGACGTTTTTGTGAGAAAGTTGGATGAAACCGTTCAAGATTTATACATGAATCACATGAAGGATGTTCGTGAAATGCATCCACTTACTGAGATAGAGAAGCAAGGTTTCCAAAATAGTACTACGTGCCATATTTGTGGAAAGCCATTCAAGCCAACAGATATCAAAGTTCGTGATCACTGCCACCACACTGGAAAATTTCGTGCAGCTGCCCATAGTGTTTGTAATTTGAACTACAAGACCTCAAAGACTATTCCAGTATTCTTCCACAACCTCACAAATTATGATTCTCATCTTTTCATCAAGAAATTAGCAACGAAAGGAGAAAGAATATCAGTGATAGCCCAAACTAAAGAAAAGTATATTTCGTTCTCCAAGTCAGTATTGGTTAATAAATCTGAAGTGTCAAGAGTATTTGATGAATATATTCAGTTGAGATTTGTAGACTCCTTTCGATTTTTACCAAAATCTCTCGACAAACTCAGCAAAAATTTAGAGGTGCAGCAGTGTAACGAGGTTCGGAAATACTTTCAAGATAACAAACAATTTGATCTAATAAGACAAAAAGGAGTTTTTCCTTACAACTATGTGGACTGCTTGGAAAAATTGAAAGAAACTCAACTACCGCCGAAAGAAAAGTTCTATAATGAATTAACCGGCGAATCACTTTCAGACATGGATTATAATAGAGCTATAGATGTGTGGAATACCTTCGAATGTAAAACATTGGGAGATTACGCCGATGTTTATTTGAAATCCGATTGTCTGCTGCTAGCGGACGTTTTTGAGAATTTCAGAAAATGCTGCATGCAACAATACAAGCTAGATCCTGCCCACTATCTGACAGCACCTGCACTGAGCTGGGATGCTATGTTACGTTATACACAAATTGAACTTCAGCTCTTGACTGATATAGATATGATACATTTTTTCAAGAAGGGTATTCGAGGAGGGGTGGCACAATGTAGCAAAAGAAGAGCTGTGGCAAATAACAAATTCCTACCAAACTTTGATTCTCAGAAACCAACATCATACATCATGTATTTGGATGCAACAAATTTATATGGAGCAAGTATGGCAAGTCATCTTCCAACAGGTGATTTTAAGTGGGTCGAGTCTGAGGATATCGAAAACTTTGACTGTCACGCGATCGAGGACGACTCATCAAAAGGATACGTTTTAGAAGTGGACTTGGAATATCCAGCCAACCTACACCATGATCACAACGATTTACCATTTTGCCCAGAACAAATGATCCCGCCAAAGAGTAAGAGTGCCAAACTGATCCCCAATTTACGAAACAAATGCAAATACATTATACATTACCGAAATTTGAAGCAGTGTTTGATATATGGTTTGAAACTAGAGAAAATCCATAGAATCTTAGAATTCTCCCAATCGGCGTGGTTGAGGCCATATATTGACCTGAACACGCACCTCCGGAATTCCGCAGTAAACGAATTTGAACGAGAACTCTTCAAATTATTGATAAATTCAATATTTGGAAAAACCATGGAAAATGTCGACAAAAGAATTGACTTGCAACTTTGCTCACGCTGGGAAAATAAGACAAATTCTCTGGGGGCAAGGGCTTTGATAGCCAAACCACATTTCAAATGCAGTACAGAATTCAGTGAGAACTTGGTTGCAATTCAGTTGGAAAAGACTAGTGTATGTTATGATAAACCGATGTATGTTGGATTTTCGGTATTGGATATTTCGAAAACTGTCATTTACGATTTTTTCTATGGATATATCAAAGCAAAATATGGTGATAAAGCAACATTATGCTACACCGATACGGATTCATTAATTCTAGAAATATTCACAGAAAATTTCTATAATGATATGAAAGAAAATATCCAATTTTTCGATACGTCAAATTATCCCATAGACAATATACACCAAATCCCCAAATCGAAATCTGTTATAGGACGCATGAAAGATGAATATGCCGCAAGACCTATTGAATCTTTCTATGGTACTGGTGCGAAAGCATACTGTGTAAAAGCAGGTGATGTGATGAAAAAAGCCAAAGGTGTCTCAAAAAACGTGGTCAAAAACCAAATTCAGTTTTCAGACTATGTGAATATTGTAGAAAATGGTGGAACAATATTACGTAAGATGTATATGTTCACTTCTTCTCTCCACACCATTCATACGGAATTAAGAAATAAAGTCGCTTTGTCATCTGCTGATGATAAGCGTTATAAAATTCCTTCTGATGTGAAAACTTTGGCTTGGGGTCATTTCCTTATAACACCAGGAGCTATCACTGGAACTTTAGATGAGTTTTTGGAAATAGCTCAAGATTTGATTGACGAGGAAGACTCTGACCAATAGTTTTGATGTGATTTTCATTTGTATATTGTAATTATGGATTATAATATGTAGTATTTGTGACATATGAAATAAAAATCATTATCGAGTGAATTTGTTTTATTACATTTATTCAATACAAAATATTAATATTATCCACATCGCTCGAGGCCCCATCTACAAACATGACAGCTTGATTGTGCTTGAGGAAGGCCGTCTACATGATCTCTCCATTCAGGGCGATTGAAGTGGACAAAGCATGGTAGCTGGATACGAAGTTCAAAATTCTCTGTATATTTTGATGGCAGTTTGTCCCATGCATAGAGAAGTTCCATCGGACCTACATTTTTAATAAGATAATGTAGTGGAAAATTCTGGAGCTCTTCTTCGGTAAAATCGTACAATTTTTTATTTCGGTTTCGGTGTTTATTCACGAGTTCGGTCAATAAACAGTTAGGGCAATCTTTAGACATGTTGTAACAATGAGGTTGAACAGCAACAATGATGCACACACTGCTGTGTAGTACGTAACCCAATCGACTATTCTGAATTCCGCATCATCCTTCATTATAGTTGTATCATGGTGTAGTGGGGGGGAGGGATTTAGTTCACACCAGTCAGAATCAATGGTGGAGCCACTGCCCTTTCGCAATCGCAACTTGTACATAGTGCTATTGCTGGGTATGAGTGATTTGAGAGTTGAAACATTATTTATTGTAGTTGATTCCATTCTTGCCCATTTAGAAGGCCAACTTTCATTTCGTGTACCATCACTATCGAAACATATGAATACTTCTCTTATATTATAAGGTTTTGCGATATAGAGAAAGCCTTGAAGAATCACTTGTAAAACTAAACATTGTGGTGTGATCATGGTCACAACTTCTGATAAACTGAAATCATCATCTACTTTCAAGTCATATTTATTGAAACTGGTAAGATACAGGATATTCATTTCATTTATCAAAGTCTCATTTTCCCGTTACATTAGAAAATCTATGCTGATTCTGAAATACTTTTTCATCCCAGACTTGCTGTTCTTCTAGGGTCAGCATATTTTTAATTTGACTATGCCGTATTCTCTCATCCATTCGGAATTTCCGTTTTTCCCTTCTGCTCTTGCCAGGTGGTGGACATCTGATAATGTCTTTGTCCTCGACATTCGGTACATAAGTGGAATAATCATCATTATCCCAGTTCTCTTCAATTTTCTCCGTTTTTTCAGAAATGTTCATGGTTGGGGGACAGCAGTACTAATGAAGGATCCTTCGCGTAAGATCTGACGACTTTTATTGGCCTCGTTTGCTTGCAAAGACGTTTGCACAATTCAATTGTCAATTTTGGTCTGCTCAACCAACAACCACTTGATAGATATGTTCGATTGATAATTTTTTTGCAAACACAACACTGTTTTGTTTCGACCACACGATAATCACCACTTTGTATAAATATATCCAATAAGTCTCTATCTTGCATGTTCACTAATGAAATCAAGACTACACCAGAGTATTTATAGCCAAACTAGAAGGGAGTGTTCAATTTGAAAATTATCACACAATTGAAGATAATTAGTCTGATGAATCCATTGATTAATTCATCTGATGGAGCATTTCGTTAATCAATATAAATTAGTCTGATGACCTTTGCCCGGTCATCAATTAACATTAATAAATATCAATTGAAGCTGTAATGATTCTCTCAATATATATCGAGCGCTGTGATTGGTTGCCTGATGCCGTGATGCCGGTAATGATTCTCTCAATATATATCTACTCAATTAATCAATAATTCTCTTGCCTGGAGCAACTATGGCGAGATGAGGTTTCTACGTCATAAGAGGGTCCGTTTTCAGAAGGTACTATTATTTATGTCCAAAAATAAAACATTCCAGTTAATTTTTCGATCGAATTATGTCGGTAATCATTATTTATGTATAAAAGGATCATTATAAACATGGTTTGAGTTAAAAGTTCTACTAAGGTGTGCACACATTTCATAGTGCGGAAGGTCATACTTTTCCGCACGTGTTAGGTACACTATTTTTTTCTACTAGCGTGCAGAAAATGCCCAATCGTTAACATGAAGAAACAATTATTATTTTAATTAAATATTCTAATGTCAGTATACTCCCCAAAACTTCCCGATTTTTTTTTCACTAGTGCGGTAGAGTAACTTTCAACGATAAAATGAGTGCGAAAAAGTGGAATTTTCCCCACGCTAGTAGAAAAAAAGAAGTTTCCACTTCAAAAACCATCGCATAATAAGTGTAAATACCTAACTCATTGTCGGGATCCACTTACGTCTGTTTCTTCTCCAAATTCTGCAAACTCCCCTTGAGATTATTGTACGCCGACGATTTGGTCTTCAGATCGGCATCGATCTGCCCCACCTGCTTGCTGATGATATCAGCTATGTTGCGCAGCGACTGCTTGATCGGGTACTTGGCGATGTCCCATTGGAACCTCGTCAGATAGCTGGGCAGGTCGGCTACAAAACGAGACCACAAAACATACCATCGAGCCTCAAATTCAAAAGCACCTCGTATATCATCAGTGAAGTAAAAGCGACACACACAACATTCGATCGACACCAATACATTGATGTTCGGTATTAGGGAAAAATTTTGAGTTAAATCCGTTTATTGAATGTGTTGGTTTCTAAGATCTGACAATATGTACAGGGTGGGCAAAATTGGGCGTTTCATGGGCTATATCAATAACTAAGTTATCGAAAAACCGATATACATGATACGGGTTCGATTTTAGGGAAACCTCAAATGGCACTATTAGAATTTTGATCTTCTTTCGTTTCAGAGATACAGGGGCAAATTAAAAAATTGTCGATTTTGTTTCTATTTTCTGAGTACTTTATGGTAAGGAATATTGCGAAATTTCGAACGTTCGTTCATATAGTATGATGTGAACCATCCATTGGCATCATTATAAATTTTATACAGGGCGACATTAAAGAGGAAGGGCAGCCAATTATATCATTTCTTACGGAACACCCCGTATATTTTGGCACAAATGGATAGTCCCCGGTGTTCCAATTTCAAATACTTTCTTCTTCCACAGTTTCAGAAATATTTTATATATTAACCGAAGGTGGAAGATAAATATCAATAAACAAATAATTTAAATATTCTATTTCCAGACAAATATTTGATGAGAAACAAAAATAGAAATTATTCGACACATTAAAACTATGTAAGATACAAAAATAAGACACATAATTTATTCCAATTAGGAAATGATATAGTAGGCTACGTTGAAAAATATATATTCATAGAAGATGTTAAAATTGTCTTCCGTTTTCCGTATTCTTCAACGTCATCTAATAATTTCCGGATTAAGTAAATTATGTGTCTTATTTCTGTATCTCAAATAGTTTGAATCTGTTGATAACAATATCAAATCGGATAATTCCTCATTTTATTTCTCATTTGTCTGGAAATAGGATATTTGGATTGAATTTTTATTGATATTCATTTTCCTCCTGGAGCAAATTTAAAGTGTCATTTCAACTTATAATCTACCTCTTCAGAGTTTTTTCCAGAAATGTCGGTGATTACATAGCTACTGGCGAGCAGTATTATTACTGGAGATGGCCCCACTTGGTCCTTGAGTGTATCATTGGTATCTCTCTCACAGTAGCGAATTTATGAATCCAACCTCAATTATCATTACGGAAGATACGGAGGTGCAACCAGAAAAATGTGACACACGAAATATATTTTCGCGAATATCTCTGAAATTGTGGAAGAAAAAGGTAGGGTTAGATAATATTTGACATTGGAATGTCTGAGACCCAACTTTGCCAAAATATACGGCGTGTTCCATGAGATAAAATATAATTGGCTGCCGTACCTTTCAATGTCACCCGGTATAAATTATCTAATGATGCCAATGGATGGTTTGCATCACACTATATGAACGAACGTTTGAAAATTTCCAACATTCCTCACCAAAAAGTACTCAGAAAATAGAAACGAAATCGGTAATTTTTCAATTTCTCCCTGTATCCCTGAAATCGAACTCGTAACATATGTATATATCGGTTTTTCGATTACTTCCTTAGTTATTGAGATAGTCCGTGAAAACGAACAATGTTGCCGACCCTGTACTCTACTAGATTGGCCGCCTTGCCTTACCGTCTTGTAGAAAGCAATGAAAGTCACATTAAAAAGAGAAAGAAGTATCGATACGGCAGCATGTGCAACAAAGACAGATTTAGTTTCACCCAACCATCAGCTGGTAGCTGCTCGTTATTTTCTCTCTCCATCTCTCTTGATTGGCTGGTTATCTGGAATGGGGAGACCACTGATATTTTAAACGTGAGCTATACCAAAAAACTACCAGTGAATAAAATTTTGAATTTTTTCATTCATACTACGACGATAAAACAAAATAAAAATATGTTCATTTTAAAACACCTCACTTCCTGCGCCAATTCATTGGTGTGACTGGTGTGAAGTATTAGTCCTAACACGCCTATTGTCCTTGAGCTGACAAATCATACCGCAACACTGCAGAATGGCAAGGTATCAGGACTAATACGTCACGTCTCCACCTTCATATCTGGCTTTTTGAAATTTCTAATGGAAAATACAGATTTCAAAACGCTATAGATGTGATTGCCTTCAACTTCAACTTATAATATTTATTGTACATCACATGTAAATCCTGATGCAATGATTGAAAGAGATATGGAGGGATTCCATCCCTCAGTGGTCTTCCCCATTCCGACCACTAACATAATCACTATCTGGACCGCAATATGTCATATCCCAGAAATCCGAAAATCTCATATACATTGCTCGCCCGAAACGCTTCTGATCAATGCGCACGAACTTCCAAACTGTCGTTTATATGTTCTCCAGTTCAATTTCGTGAGTGGCATAGTTTTTTTCTTATGGCATTAGTGCTGGTCTAGATAGTAGTTTTATGTCAGTGATTTCAACGTGTCAAATTTATTTCCAATCATCGAACATATCTTCAGTACTTCAGAATTAGAGAGATAATATATCACCCAGCATTTTTATTTATTAACCTTAAATTTCAATACTGAGTTAGTCAATCGTGTAGCGTGTTGTGAATTTTATTCCCATCTTTAGCCAACCATCAGCTGATTTTGGTCTATAATGTTGTTTTTCCACCACTAGCTATAGAACCTTTTTAAGGCGTGAAGTGTGGTTTTCTACCAAAGTGGTTTTCGTCATTTCATGAACTATTAGTCAATAAAGACATCTGTTATAAGTATACCGAACTCTCTGTTCTGATGCGGGATTGGCAGGAATTTCAATTTCTAGGCCCTATCTAGTAGTTCAATATTATAAGATCTTTGGTTAGTAATCTTTCAATATTATAAGATCTTTGGTTAGTATTTAGATTAGTATATTAGCGACAGGCAAAATTTTTCCACCAATAGCAGCAGCGGAAGCCAACATGATCAAGAACCAAAACGAATAACACCTTATTCTACGTCGAAGCTAAAAAAAAAATATATTGTGGTCAGTGTACGTTGTGTAGAACCAATAAAAAAATCAGTAAAATGTTCGGCAATACTGTCTCAGAACGAGAAAAATAAAAGAAAAACTGTGCCCGAGTCCTAGTCTCCCAAGTCATATTAATTTATTTCACTTTTGGGTCTAGCAGTTGCAAAAAAACGTTTGCAGTTTCCTATATTACTGTTACCTTCGCAAGATCTACACAATAAAATAATATACATATTCGTGAACAGATGTGAAACAGAACATCCAGTGTACAGAGTTATGGGGCCCAACTGGTGTTAGGTTTTCGTGAAATAATTTAATAGTTGACGAAATTCAAGGTGTCTTGAGATTTATCAATGCTTCCGAGAATGTACCACAAAAACTACTCATCAATCAGCTACGCACAGTATTGAATCCAAAAAAATGGAAAATAATAGTCCGAATGCAAAAACAAGCCTTCTTCTGGTGCAATTAGATTATTTAGGCAATAGGGAATCAATATTAATTATTCTTGATGTGTGTGGTTTGAAGAAACACAGACTCAAAACAAAGTAGGCGTAGTAGTAGATGGTTAAACCATATTCATTGTTCTCATTACTATGGAAATAGCAACACTCTCAGTTTTTCTACACAAACATAATGGTTACCTAAACTCCTTTCCTTTCAACAATAAAGGATTAGGATCTATACTTATAACAAGTTAACAAGCAAACAACAAATATCAAACAGTGCAGCCAGCTCTCACTCAATTTTAAAAATAAATAACATAAAATATGTAATCTCCAAATTTCCAATGATTCCCTATTCCATAATGACTAAATTTTCATCACCAAAAAAAGCATGCAGTGAACAATGTGTCAATGCAAAAATGAAATTGAAAAATAAAGTGCTTGTGATGTATGTTCGAGTGATATTCACACTATTGATAAAAATCAACTTCCTGTACTCATCCTCATCGAGAGAATGAGGAGAATTTATCATTAGTGAGAATTTGAAAAGAGTTATTGGGTGAAAACGTGTAGTATGATAAATGGGTGATAATGGTCTATCTCTAAACTGTTCGTATTTTAAAACAGATATGGTTTTCCACCTGTGGGGACAGTTACTTGAAACTAAATCTTTCAAGAATTTCAAAAGTACATAGTTTACACGAGAAAACTCTAATACAACTTTTTTTGGAGAAAAATATGAGAATGTCCAAACGTACTTTCTACAAAAACGTTCGAAACTATTTCTCAACTCTGATTTGCAGTGACCACCACAACTGAAAATGAGTGGCAGAGAACTGTGAAATAATAATGAAACAACCATAATTTCACTGATAATCATTATTGTATGGTGAGGATATCTAAATGGTGAACTTCTATATGAAGTCATTCTTTGCCAATAATTAATATTTTGTAGGAGGTGCATAAACTCTCGTACTTATATACTTTTATATTCCTAAGATAGAAAATGTTGGAATACACAAACACAAAACTATTTTAAATATACAAACTCAACATTCAAATAATAATTGTCAGGAGCAAGAATATGTTTTGACATATTATAATATAAAAATGAAGTTCAACCAATGTCCGTATTTTTTTTCAACGTAGGTATTGATAGCTATATCACATTTTTTTCTAGAAACATTCCTTCATAGCAAAAACCCAATATCTTTAACATTTTTCGGTCAGTTAGATTGGCTCTTCGATCTGGCCCAATTATACCTACCGTTAATATGCCTATATACCTTCCCACTTCGAAGTCTCTTTTCGCGCCACATTAAACCAAGCGAGAAAAAAATATTTGAAAATAGTGATGAGTGAAGCTTTGGACACTTGGTTGAATAATCAAATATAAAAAAATTCAGTCTGTAGGTTAATCGAGGAGGTGAAATATCCATTTATTTATTTATTATTGAAGGTAGTAAAACGAAGTTTATAGGTTGTGAATATTATAGTTCAATTGATATACAGGGTGTGTCTAAATAACACCGAAAAAATTCAAGGGG